GTGACAATGTGGCTTTTATCTCAGAACAATATAAACACATATTTTATAAAAGAGAAATGCCATCAAAATGTTCTAATTATGTCACTTTCATGTTCTCACTCCTTGCTGTCCTTGTACAACTTTCATATATTAATATTCACACTTCAATATCTTCATCTCTTATCATTATATAACACTACATGTTTCAACCTAATTGGCCATTATCAGGTGTATAAGATGCTGGATTAAAAGAACCTGCTGCTTTGTTATCATGCTGTTCTGCTTCTCATTTTGTTGTAAAATGCTCCTAAAATGTATCATTTTGAAGTAAAATGAAAAGCAGAACAGCATGATAACAGAGCAGAAGGTTCCTTTAATCCAACATCTTATACACCTGATCATGTCCAGTTAGTCTGAAACACATAGTGCTGTATAATGAGAAGAGATGAAGACGCTGACGTGTGAATTTAATACATCGACAAAGTTACACAAGGACGGCAAGGAGTGAGAACACAATGCTGAATACACAGTGCAACAGTATGCTGCAGTATAATAGTCTAATCATGTAGTATAAGCTTCTACAGCACAAGTGTACCATCCAACTAATTCCGGATGGAGTTTATGGTAAAATGCATATTACATAGGCAGTGCATTACAGAATAAGATTCAGTGTTACATCACCATATCAAATAAACAGTGTTTATCAAGAAGCTATTACTTGAAGGTTTCAAAATTAATGTGATGTGAAAGAAATGTTTTTATATTATTTAATAATTTATCTCAAGAACTGGCAGAATGCCTTACTGGCTGGTATCATCCTGTTTCAAACACTCTGGATTAAATTCAATAGTTACTGTTTATTACAGACTAAAAAGCATGAAATTACATATTTATCACTGTCAAATGATCAGTAACATTTCTGCAATCAACACATACATGAAGATTGTATCATAGCCTGCCACAAACCACCTGACTGCCCAGGCTGGACACATTCTCCACACAAAGCGCGTGAATGCATGCGCACATACCTGTGCAGACCACCATCAACGAACCAAAAGCCCAACAAATCACATATAAAACCCACCCAAATCACAGATGCTGGAAATGCTCCCTGTTATATACACATTCCTAGACCCTCCATAAGAGGTTCAACATTCAGGCACCATCAGATTTCAAGTTGGTCTCTTTCTGAAAAAAAGGAGACCAACTTGATACTGAAAGCCTAGTCTCCTATGCAAATAGTCTAAGGGAGTTCACAGGAGAATGTTCAAGCCTAGCACCAATTTCATCCCGTTTCTCTTCAGTGAGCACTCAGCATTTTGATTGTTATTTTTATATCTAACATTAACCATGTATGTCTTATTTATTTATGACCGTGTGAACAGTTTTTATTTGGACCCATAACATCTGAAATTTATGCTCGAATGTTCTCCTTACTTTCCACATAGACATACATCAATACTACTGCCAATTGTATATCATATGTTGCATTTATAAAAAGTAATGTGACAAACTGAATATTAAAGTCAGTAACGGGATTTGGATTATGGCAAACAGGCAAATAATTCATAAGCTCACTTCATAGAAGCTATTCAACAATTTATTGGAATGATACTGGAGAGAAATTACAATGTATAGTAACTACAGGCCTGCAATCCATGTCATTAATCCAAACATGCACAACATGAGGTGACACAAGGAATGAATCCACCCTAGTGGCCAAATGATTTGTGGTTGGATCTAAATTGCTCTGTATAACAAATATAATATCCTGCACCTAAGACAAAAAGAAAATTGTAAATTTTGAGAAATATGCAAAAAGTACTATCATTATTCATCTTACTAATCTTCTCTCGACCTTAAATTACGTCCACACAATAAGAGAAATGGTATAACCACTAAAATAAAATGAGAGGGTACTTCAGAAGGCTTGTCCATGGTCCACCAGTGGGACTGTATGCTAATTTTAGCCCTTTATTGCACAAAAGGTGCACATCCTATTTATAAGGCACAACTCGTCTTGGCCACGCAGATCACCAATTAATCTCACAGATACTGAACATGCCTCTGCATACACAGCAGATCGCACTGTATCAGGAAAATTGATCACAGTCCATAAATGTGCACATGAAAGGTCAAAGAAAGAGAACGACTCATAAAACACACTTCATGCCTAAATTTCCACCTACATTCTTGCAGTCTTTATGGGTGCTGTGTGAGGGAGGGGGGACTTAATGCATCTTCCCACACTCTTATGAACAGTTACTTTCTGAAAGAGTTTCAAAGTCACATTTGATAACAGGGATCACACTTTCCATAAACCCAATGGTATAATTGGGGGTTACATTCCAATGACAAAAGAAATACAGAAATCGCCAATTTTACTTCTGAAACAAAATAAATGGCATCACTGGAGACCCCAAAATAACAAGGGAACATTTTTACTTTCGTCTTCTTTCCTCTTAGCTTATTTGATTCCAGGCTATTCAGGTGGATTGAAGGGAATTTTATGGGGAGTGAATGAAAGATGATATTTTTCATTCATAAAGTACTTCAGATGACCGAATTTGTATTTCAATGGAAAATCAAGGGTAAGTTTGTATAAGTGAAACTTCATTGTGTGAACTTTCATAAAATGAGTACTATCTGTATACCAAATATTACTCCAATGGGAAGATTCTGAAAACAGTTTGCAGCACCAGCTATGTTTCAATACAGAGACCCACAACTCTAGGGCAATATGTAAAATATTCTTAAACGGCTTAAATTTATGTAAGCAAAAACAGTTCTGGCTCAGGAAAATCCTGGCAGTGCCCGTGGTAATACTATGCTCAGCTGCTACTGCTGACAGGCTTTCTACAATTTCCTTCCTTCTAGATATTCAAAAATTAATAAAAGCCTGTACATAGACCTATACTAGGTTACTGTAAAACCCTATCCTGCATGGGATATACACACTGCAAAGTGAATGAACCTGTATTCACAGGCATAACATGCCCATACAATGTGGGTATTGATAATATAGGGCAAAAGTGACAGAAAAATAGTCATGAGTCAGAAGTCAGTGTTTATAAGTCTACAGTCTTGAGTATTATTGATAGATGTTGTTACCATGCAACAACTAGTGTAGACTTGAAGAAAGCAGTCTTCTGGGATGTGGCACTGTGTAGATGTGGTGTTAACCACTGCCATGAAAACCTCAATCTTACATAGTATAGACTTAGTGCTTGCAGTAACGATTTGTAGTGTGTAAATCAGTGAGAATGTTATAGATAGCTATAGTTACAAGTTACAACTGTTCAACAAATCCAATCAATCCAAACCCCATGTCTAGTCACTAACATGTGACAATATAAAACTTCTTTATTGAAACCGTCACAACACAACTATATTTGGCAGAGCCAAAATTGGCACTGACCTTAATATAGTTGTGCTGTGACGGTTTTAATGAAGAAATTTTATATTATAACACAACAGGATGCATGAAATGAAAATGTGACAATATCTTCGCCAATAGGTAAAAGATATACTGATGAATTGGCAGTGTTCATCTCTATGTACTATTCAAACATGGGAGCATCAACATGAGTTACTGACACAGACCATTAAAGCATCATCATAAAGTTACACACAATAGTCATATTTGAAATTACCAGTCCACTACAACTGGCATACCATTTCTGAATCTTATCAGATTAAAAAATTTTGAACCTGAGGCAAAAGTGGACAAGCCAGTTTTGACGCTAAACACTCGTATCTTAAATTTGATTTGTTTCATTCTGGTCCGTCACACTAACAATTATAGATACAAACCACTCCGTCCAATGTGACATAAGTTTTTACTATGTTAAAACTTATCTCCCTTACATGTTTCGGTCCTTACGGGCCATCTTCAGAGGAACATCAATACAAACTGGAAACTACCATCACAATAGGTGTTTTGATTTAAAATACATACACATATCCTATAATGCACAGTCGAACGTTTCACAATCACAGCAGCTTCCTGGTGTTGAAAGTTTTTAAAAGTTTCTAGATGTTATTTAAAATACCTTTATTGTCAATAGTTAAAATTTTTTAAACCACGCAGGTTTGTGTCCGTACTCCTACCGTCCTTGTATGGGGCAGATTTTGTGCCACCTGTCTATCTTGATGAGGAGGTTCTTGATGTCATCCAGGGTTTGTTCGTGGCTTGCTGTGTTTTCACTCACATGCAAGGGAGATAAGTTTTAACGTAGTAAAAACTTATGTCACATTGGACAGAGTGGTTTGTATCTATACTCATATCTTACTTTGTAAAAGTTTGGATATATCCTCTACTCGCTCTTTCACAAAAATTTACATAAAGCTAATAACTTAGTTACAACTTCAAGCTTTGAATTAATAATAATTTAAACACTTTGTAATCTGAATTAAAGGAATACTCTTAAGACACATTGCTGACTGAGTTAAGTGTATGGCTGTGCAAGTGGAACCCAATGACCTTTCCAATAAATGTTTAGATTCACTCTCGACTTCACTAAGCATTCTCTGATGAAACTGACTTTCAGCCATATAAATCACAATTTGACCATCTCATGTTCCCTACTTACCTAATTTCCTGAAACTTTCCACCCTAGATCAACCTTCTATCACAATTCCTGAAAAAAATCAGGTGGTACCCTTTAATAAATCCAAATAAAACTTCCCTACCCTACCTTGAGGTGACTAATAACAAATAAATTACTAAGACAAAAGTGGTGGAAAGTTAAAGGTTCAGTAAAAAAGTAAAAGTAAAGCTATCCATGTACCAGGCTGTGAAGGCCCATAGGGTTATGAGACGTTGAGGGTCCCACATTATCTAGAAAATTGGTTCAAAGATGGCGGTAAAGTTGTCAGCCATATGCACCGGCTGTGCTTTACTCCCCAGGAAAATTATTTAATTAATTCCTGGTACTCATTTCTGTTAGAGGCTGAGTGAACCCCAGTGCCATAGTGTGGCTGGAAGGATTAGGTCAATTGAAAAAAATCCAATAACCTCATCAGGACTTGAACCCGCAACCTTCTGGCTTGTAGCATAGCCCCTCAACCAACTACGCTACTGTGTGCCCCCAAAGGTTCAGTATTATTTGGAATTAACTATCAACTTCTGCAAGCCTATGAATGATGTTAAAAAGTTCTTTTTCATGATATCAATATTGCAAGTGCTCCACTTTTTTTTTAACCTCTCCAGATGACATGTTATTCCTTACTGACCTCCTGGGAATGAGATTTTTTATTCCATCATTACTGGCATTTATTTACCAACTGCTAAAGTTAAAGTACAAATTCAAGTTATGTGATATGTGTAAGTTTTAAATATTTACTGATGCAAAACAAAACATCAGAACCATATCGGAGTAAGGCCTGGACCTCTATATTATGAATCATGCAACCTTATCTCCTTGGCTATGAAGATGCAGTATCTGCCATGGTAAATATACAGCAGCCATACTAAGCAGAAAACATCTAAAGCCTATACTTCAGAAACTAAGACCTACTGGACAAAGGGGAAGACATGGGTCTCTTTATTCTCCGTCTAATTTTCAAGCAAAGAATCCACACCAACTATGAATACATACACACCAAGATGGCTGACAGTTTTTTGAGAACTTTCCTCATTCTGGTGTTTGTAGCATATATACTATAGCATAAATATTGAAACTTAAATTTTATTCTTAATGCTAGAAAAAGGTTACAATGCCTCTTAAAAGAGAATAATGTACATCAATTTACTTCAAATTAGGAACTACTTTTTGAACACCATTAAAGCCACACAGCATTCTTCTTAAGACAAAAGCTTCACATGCTATGAAGCCATAGCAGACAAATGCTCTGCTGCAACAAAAACAGGAGAAAAAGGTGTGTTATATTTCAGAGAGACAAATAAAAATAACACACATTTCTTCCATCCATGTTAACTTATTACAGATGTGCTTTTATGGGAGATTATTCACTCTAAGGGAGTACATACAATATTACTTACAGTACTCACAGATATAAGTATATTACAGATTTTGTGAAAATTGGTATTATATTGTGCAACTTATAAACAATGGTCCCTAGAAGTGGGAGATCTCTTTGAATACACAAGATTTTTCCTTCATAGGGTTGCCTATAGAAGGTATGATGCACCCATGTTCAAATAACACAGAGAGAATATCAAATGTTTTTCATTTTGTGTCTATTATAGCAGTAGTGGTACTGCTAATACATTAACTAGTATGAGAATGAAATGTTACAACCTTACACAGTGCAACAGGATGCTGCAATTTAACATTATAAATGTTAAAATGCTGAGTTACCTGGACATCTATTTTCTCGAGGAACTGAAAAGAGGAAGGTAATCATAACTGGTATTCTTGAAACTGTCTCATGATTCACCCACTATCCTTACTCAGAATATCCTGGACAAAATTCAGGCTCAGTGCTGTACAGTGTTAATTATTTATCACTGTTTTTCTGGACTGTGTGACAAGTTTTGCATACAATTCTTATGTTTCTCTGAAGTTTCCAGCACCATATGGAATTGTCATGACTCTGTGGATGCAATAATAATGTATTTTATATGTAGGGAAACACAAATTTCATTTTAAGACATTGCTGAAGGGATCACTGCTAAGCTGACTGGTGAATGAAAGAGGCAGTCTTTTGTGCATGCTACAACAAAAGAAGTGCATTGAACAATAAGGAATGTGATGAATAAAAAGTGAAACTCATGTTAGTACAAGAATCCAACTATATAGAAAATACTCCTAGAAACTGACAGTGCCTATCAAAAGTCTTCATGCTGTAAGTTAGGCTGCGCTTCACTGTCTGGCTTCTTTCTATGGAACCCCCTTTTAGTGAGGAGGTCATTGCAGTCCTGGCGAGATAATGGAGCCAGATCAATGCGTTCCAGTTCCTTGTAATATGCAAAGAAAGCAACATGTACTACAGTGTAACTAATGAGTTCAGTGACAAAGAATTCTTTAACTTCAACAATATTCTATTATATGTCATAGTCTCAAGTCAGTTAATATTTATAGCTTACCTTATCATGCATATCTAGCAATACAAGCTCTGGGGAGGCACCTTGAATATGCTTGAATTCTACATTTTCACTGAGCTGAAGTTAAGAACAATTACTAGTCATGTCTGACAAAACACACACCAATGAGAATGATGAGGTAGAATAAATGACACAAATCTATATGAAGACTATTACAATATTATTCATGCATTTATTACATCTTAGGTGTCAACTGATATACTTTCCAGTTTCCTGTAAGAATGGTACAGATCCCATGCATTAGCACTAGCAGAGCTATCTTTTACCGCAACAGCTGCTGCCACTGTGGACCTGGTTTTGCTAACACTGTATTCAGTTTGAACTTCAGCTGTTTTAATATTCCTATGATGACCTTTCCCGATAGTAATATATTCATAATATTCATTATCAGATTCTACTGCTTCACCTTCTTCTGTTTCCACATCCACATTCAAAGATGGCAGAGTCAAATGGAAAATAGTGGGTGTTTCTTTCAGAGTGATGAGAATGTTACGAGGGGGTAGAAATTCTGGAACTTCAGGCTCCTCAGGGTGCAAAAGGTACAACAAATTTTGGGGGAGTGGGGGAATTTCATCAGATATGTCAGATGTTTCACTATCATCTGAAAGAGCAAAATTCTTCATTTCTGACTCTGTTAAAGGTTCACGTATTGATGTAAGCTCAACAGGTGTACTTTTTGTTAAATGTGAACTTGAAGAAGCTGTTCCAGGAACATCTGAAGTGTGAGGTGTTACAGTGGATATTTGAAGTCCTTCTTGTATATCCTCAGATAATTCTTCTGCGTCATACAGAAGAGGTTTTGGCGTTACATCAATCCCATCAATCATTAACCGAAGAGATAATCTTCTCCTTAATGATAATGGAAAACCTGTATAATCACCACTGACAACCTTTAAGGTTGGTCCTCTTGACATTTGTGTAGTTACATGTGCCATTTCACATTAAGAGAGCTAAGGCAGTGGTCTTCACCATTACCTCATTAAGGATACAACAGAGGAACATCTTCAAAAATAAATTTCTTCACTTCTGGGAGACGATTCAATCGACACCCTCTACAGCTCTGGAATGCATAAAAAATTATTACACATAAGTTTATCTTCTGAAAGTAACTAAAAACCTTCTCACAAAGAAATAGTTATTAGTGCATCATACAATGCTTTCAGTTAGCTCCTTAAAATTGACTTAATGTTCAAAGGCAAGTTAAGTTTAAATAATAATAATATGGTTTTATGAACGTAAAATTTTAGAATACCTTCGCAGAGCATCCAATAGGTAGGCCGTCATATTCTGACAAGTAGGGATGTAATATATAATCTTTGAAGACAGAGAAAATAAATTACGGCCAATAAAATACATGAATACTATTTCACAGCACTGAAGTACAATGTAATGGTATAAGACTGTAAAGCAACTTTACCTGCGATATTTCATAAACAGATCGTTCCTGACACACACGGCAACATTTCTCCACCGTTCCTGTTCATCCGAGTTTCGTCGTTCACTGCACATCGTGAAATAAATACTACCCTTATTCATTAAAATGTACTGCACGTAGCACTTGAATATTCTTGCACATAAAGCTACATTATAATTATGAGAATACAGCGAGGATACTAGCAAATACATAGGCAGTTAACATGTACTGTATCTGTTTAACGTCACGACCGACAAACTTCTAGAATAATGAACTATATGCGTTAATATTCAACCTTTGCTCAAAATAAATTAATATCATACTTACTTCAACTCGGGCAGCAATAAGATTTCCGTTGGTATGATCTCCTTCTGTTGCATAAAAAAGTAAAACTAACACCACTAGCAAAAATCCCCAACATTGCGGAGCCATATTACATTGTATTGAACCTCCTCCAATTTTACAGGATACGTCAGCATCTTACTGCATGTAAATCCATATTTCCGTATTGTTAATTTGTAATATAAGAAATTATTAGAGACTGGACTGAATCTTCTTAAAGTTGTTGTTACTTTATACAGATTTAAATTCAGTGGCCGTGACAAGTTTGTTGTAAATTTGAATACAGTAGTCTTACATGCGAGAATGGCGCTTTGCTGTGCAAGTGAGTATTTAATATAATTTACTTTAGATTGAACGATAAAATTAAGTACTATGTACAGTTTATTGGCACGTATATTAGGTATTAAACTGTGCAAGTGAAAGGTTTTATTTTTCATAAGCATGTACTTGGTATATATTATTAACTTGATGTGAATTCTTGTGACGGGCACATTCTAAAGCCTCATAGGCCCTTGCTTTTGCCGCTTGTAGTTTTGGCGGTGTATGTACATGTCTACTGCTTGTGCAGTGTTAAATGATAATGTCGTTAAAGTACACTTTTACTGAACTGTATTCGAAAGTGTCATTAGTTTGTTAGAATAGGTAACGTGTTAGGGAGATAATTTGCCGTAAAAGTATGTTATCATTATATTTTTGCCGGGGGGGGGGAAGGCTGAACTTTGAATGAAAACGCTGCCTAGCAGTTGATGAAAAATAAAAATATCATGTTAGGTATTATACTTGAATAGGAAATAAAAATTCTGATATATAGTATATGCGTTATATACGAAAGGAAATGAAGAAAAATTGAAGTATCAGGTTTGGTTTCACCTTTTTTCCCCCATCCCTCCTAACTCTACCTAATGCACTTCCTGCAATCACAGTGTAAACAAGTAATCAGTACTGGATGATAAAGACTGTGGCTGAGCACAACTAACTTAAGTAACCTTTAAATAACCTTCACTTCAAACTTGGCCCACCATGGCAACAAATGGACCATGATGAGTATTAGTTGCTAACAAGGACAAGGAGGAACTTCATATGTGAGAGGTAGAAAATAAATATTAAGATGCTGTTTCTCTACTCACAACACTGCTTCGCATGAAACCATATTGGTAATTCTTTGCAATACACTACAATTGATTTTATTAAATTAGTATGTATTGTGTTAAGGTTAGTAACTGTATTGCAAAGTTTAATCAGTTCTGTCCAGTATGACTAATGAAATGTTTTTTCTTTCTTTCCTTTTTAATAGTTTATCCTTGACATGTTTCAGTCTTGAGGCCATCTTCAGAAGGATATATCAATACAGGCAGAAAATACTGTTACAGTTTGTTTGGTCAATATCATTACATACAGACAATAAATATCATGACAATGAATATAAAATCTGATCCTTTAACAACTACAGCAACGTGCATGAATATATTAAAATATATAGAAGTTATTACAGTTAGTTTGTATACAAGTGTGGTTTAAAAAAATGTTAAAATTTTTGGAACCGATTTGGTTCATGTCCTTTATGTTGCTTCTCCTTAAAGGTAGTTGAGCGTCTACCACTTTAGTAACTTTAAGTAAAACGAAATTCAGTACAGATTAGGGGTGATCACTTGGGTTAAAATAGTTTGCTTGATACAATCCTATTAAATATAAAAACTAAAAATTCTTTGACAGGTGTATATAGTCAACATGTTGTGAAGTTGTTGTGCTACACTCCTATTAGACTACCACAAACATGAGGTCCTCACAATTGGGGCACACACTCTTGTTTGTTTGTTTGTTTGTTATGCTTTGATCCTGATGTACATTATTTGCCTTCTCCTCTTTGTACTGCTTAAGTAGGTCTTTCTGTATCACTCGTCTGCTACTAGCAAAAGGTGCAAGGTTATAAATCTTCTCATGCATTACATTGCAGTTAATAGAACCATAGTCATACCTTGTCGACTGTCAGAATACATCTTCCGTCAAGTTACTAAGTTTGAAAGAAACTCTCTCAATTTTAAATCACTGAAATGTGTTCAATTCGAAGCTAACAGTATGCATGAAATCATCATATGAGGGCATACCTATTCCAAATTTTAGCATCATCAGTGTCATTATTTGTTATTCATTTGTTTAAAACTTCTATGTAGAACACAGTCCATCAATAATGTGACAGTTGTTCCTTTTTCTTCCACTTATACTTTAACATGACATGTTTCGGGCTTTGATGGCCATCTTCAGGTGTCTTAATATATCAGAACTGCTACACTGCATCAATATGCGGTAAAATCACATGATGTAGTGCACTTAATAAAATAAAATCAAATAAAATGTATTAAAATTTTCATCACTTTGGTGAAAGTCTATTCCACCTCACAAGGGGTGTCGTCAATATGTTTAGAACTATATGTTTCCTTCCAAATGTTTTGTTGCAGCAGCTTGTTTTTGTGTTCTAGCCCACTGTTTTGCTACATCTGCAATCTGCAATATTCCCCTTGTTTGTGTGTTGCTCCCTCCAGCAGCATGTGGTATTGTCTTAACATAAAAGAAACTCCTGAAATAAAGCACATGGAGAGAAACATATAGTTCTAAGTAAACGGACGAAACCCCTTGTGAGGCGGAATAGAATTCCACCAAAGTGATGAAAATTTTAATGGATTTTGTTTTATTTTATTTTATTTTACTTTATTAAGTGCACCATAGCATGTGATTTTACCACATGTTAATGCAGTGTAGCAGTTTTGATATATTAAGACACCTGAAGACGGCCATCTAAGGCCGAAACATGTTGTGTTAAAGTGTAACTGGAAGAAAAAGGAACAATCTGTTGCGTTATTGACGGACTGTGTTATACATAGACATTTTACTGTGGCTTGCAACAGGATGCTTAAATACAGAATTAATTTGTTTGTTCATCCTCCATTATAATTTAATTTAATTGATGAGCAGAGACTGTACCCAATGCCACACAATAAATATTTACAAATGTATCTGTATTCATTACTTGTGTCTTGAAATTCTGGCGAATTAGTTGTAATAGTGCAAGCATCTTCATTCTCTTAGGATGTTGTATAATTATGTGTTGTGGAACAGGTATCTATTATTTCAGATTCTGTAAGTTGAATGTACATTTTATTAAGTTGGTTATTTAATGACACTGTTGGTATTGAGACAATATAGTGTCAGTAATGGGATGAGTAATGAGTGAGAAGCAATTGGTTAAATGAGATTTGATAGGGGAAACTGAAGTACTGGGGAAAAACCTGCCCTAGTGCCACTTTGTCCACCATAGATCCCACATGAACTGTCTTGGGATCGAACCTGGGCTGCCATGGTGGGGAGCTGGCTTGTCTGTAGGTGTTCTTTAGTAGTTCAAGATATTATGGAGATTCTTTGAGATGATTCCAGTCTTCTTCCTATACTGCTGCTGCTGCCACCGCCACCGCTGCCTCCACCTCCTTCTCCTCCTCAATCTGAATTATCAGAATCAGTTATATGTTGACCATGTGTCTGAATTGTATAAATTTGAAACATGATGTTCCCTTTTACAGTTTCCAATGAAGTTCCAGAACATCCTGTCATATCTCCAGCATCAGGAGCTATATTTGAAAGACGTCTGATTGAAAAGTACTTGTCCGAGAATGGTGTAGACCCCATCAATGGCAAGGAACTTTCAGCTGATATGCTCATTGATGTTAAAAGTTAGTAATGGAATCCTTTATTTCTGCCATATCATGCAGCAGATGTAACATTATTTTTTATAAGAATATTCAGTGTAATCCTTGAAATATTTTTCATTGCAGTGGTAACAGTACACCAACATGCTGTATCTGAAGCATTTCCAGTATGCATCCTGTCTCAAATAGATGCCCAGAGAATATCTCAGGTGAAGGTTAATGTCATCTGGAATGTGATGCCATGTGGGCCAGTAAAAGTTTGCTTACATTTCAGATGAACATACTGTTTCCATCTTCATGGTAGAGAATGGAGGCAGCTCATTCCTCTGAAACATCAGTAGAAATCTCCTAGACTCTGTGGCATCATATCCCAAAAGACTGTAATCTTCACAGTGCTTACCATGAGAACCCCAGTGGTTTACTGAAATAAACTTCTGATGTTATACTTGTGTTTTGTGTTGCAGCAACACCAGTGGTTAAACCAAAGCCTCCATCAGCAACAAGTATCCCAGCTATTTTAAAAACACTTCAGGATGAATGGGATGCTGTAATGCTACATAGTTTTACTCAGCGTCAGCAGCTTCAAACTGCAAGACAAGAATTGAGGTGTATATTATGTCTGAATGGAAACCTTTGTAGGGTTGGTGGAATGGAACAAAATCACAAAACAAATTAGTAGTTGAATCTTGTATGACAGTAACAGTATCTAAAAATTCCAGCTTTTGAAATATATTGAGACTGTGTTTATGGGTGATGTATGCAGCTATTGCTGGATGTCTGTTTTGTAAGAAACTACTTAGACCAATTTGAGATTGCACACAAGTGTGAGGTATGCAGCTGTTGCTGGACATCTGTTTTGTCAGAAACTGCAGGTTACCTCCATTTTGAATGGCAAAAAAATTTTGACCTCTTCCCGTGGTGTCAAGCAAATTTGTGTCTGACCATGTCAACAATTGTCACTTTCACGTAAAATTGTTAGTTTCCACATACCCACTTTGTGTCTAGAGCTGTGCATTCTAACATTGGGACTGAAGTACTGGGAATCAGTTTCAATATGTAACAATATCTGCATTCAGTCAGAAATTAATTAATGTAATTAACGTCTTCCAGTGTTTGTTGCTGTGGAGAAGGGAAACTAAACACCGGGCTCATGTGGTCAGTCCACATGGTTTGTATTCAGGAGACTAAGTAGATTCTAAATGGTTCTGATAGTGGTATATAACACCCAGATTTACTAGGTATTTTGACTTTGCCCATTGTCTTTTATTCAGAAAAACATGTTTCAAAAAATGGATCTGTTTCCATCCTCAGGTGGGGGTTGAGAGGCACCTACTTCACTAGGTCCGTTAGAAAAAGCCAACCTCAAGTTACAGTGACTGAGGTAAGCTATTTATAATGGACCCAATGGAGTAGGTGCCTCCCAACTCTCACATGAGGATGGAAGGAGATCCAGTTTCTGAAATGTGTGTTCTTTCATGTGTTTTTTAGAATGCCAGGTGATGGGCAAAGTTAAAAAATCCAGTAATTCTGAGGAGATGGTGTGTTCCAATTCTGACCCATAGGCTGGCTTTCCTGACAGCTTTTTCTCAGTCTTTATAGGCAAGAGCTAGGATACTAACTTAACAGTAGACATTTCTTCTACATCCTTTCCACTTTATTCATCATAATTGTTCTTCACACTGATGCCATATATCCTGTGCAGCTGAAATAGGATTATGAATTACTGCAAAAGGTAGCCAGAGGTAATGTTATAGCAAAGAGTAAACATGAATGTGGTGGTCTCTTGTGGATACAGTGCACAGTAATCTTTGCTTTCCCAAGAACATATTGTCGGAGTAAGTGTAGAGGTAAACCAGTGAATTACATAATACTCAGCAAATCATCTCTAATTCATCCATTTAATTTTGTTGTTTTTCTGTTTAAAGGTAGAGACCTAACCTAAATGATATGGTTTTATAGTATGTGCTTCTGCTTGATTTATGAAGTCCATTTGCTATTCAGATTCTTAATTGGTTTATTTAACAACCTACAAGTTGCAACTACAATCGATTATAACACTGTTGCGGGTTTAGACAATTTACAAACCCTATACACTAATCCATTCACGCTATCTTCAGTAGTCTTCACGTATTTATGACGCAGGAGCTAGACAAGTCTCTCTGAATTACACACTACCAATATAACTGTACTATAGCACACAATCTTGAAGTCACACAATAAGTCTTCACTGGCTGACTTCTCAGTTATCGCACACTATCACCGATTACCATGCATTCAGTTCTTCCTGCGACTGCTAGACTTCCACTGAACTCCTTAGGCATTTGAGTTTCTCTTATAAACTCTCAGCCGGGCAGTGGAAAATGCACCTTGCTTCCCTGTTGGGTAATCGCCATGTTTACCGATTGCCTAGCAGTAGTCACTGCACGGACTCCCCTGTTGCGTTACGTAACAGCCTAATGGGGAGGGGTGTTTACTGAGTGTTGCGTAGTTATGGGATGAGTGGGGATATGTGATGTCACTCGCACTTCCTTTTGCGCTATCTAAGCATTCACAGAGTTGTCGCCTAGCAACACGCCAATACAATCCACAACTTTCACGTTGCGCGCATGCCCCGAGGCCTCTGTGGCTCAACAGTTCCTGCATAGAGTAACTATGTCACATTATGAACATACCCACTTACATAACAATATAGTACATAGATGTCAGTTTCATGTCCTAAATAAGTGAATTATATTTTTCTTCTATAACAGCCATGCTTTGTATCAGCATGATGCTGCCTGCCGTGTAATTGCTCGACTCACTAAGGAGGTCACTGCTGCTCGTGAGGCTCTTGCAACACTTAAACCGCAGGCTGGAATTACAGCGAACCCAGCAGGAATCCCTCAGCCCGTAAGTTTTGCCTTAAGGGTTAGATTAATAATAATAATAATAATAATGAAAACAATACATGGCACTTGTGTTTTATAGCAGACTAGATTTCTGCCTGTAAAGAGCTGTTTTATTCAAGGACCAGTGCATAATAGTTGAATGTATATTGTGTTTCAGGCAATTGCTGTAGAAGCAGGTGGTATAGCAAACCAACCAACGGAGCAAGCAGGCATGTCGGCTGAAGTTATTCAGAAGCTACAGGATAAAGCAACTGTTTTGACCCAAGAAAGAAAGAAGAGAGGACGAACTGTACCAGAGGATTTAATTTCTCATGATTCCATACGCACCTTCCACACACTTGCTTCACATCCTGTATGTATAAGTAAAAGACTGTTTTCATGATATGGTGAAGGGCATTTTACAACACTTAATGTGAGAAGGATTCAAAGATAAATCATAAAACACTATATTGAAATCCACTCCTGTGTAGTAGATGTCTCCACACATAAATGTAAAATCCTGAGTCACAGGAAAATATAACGAAGTATGTTAGGCTGATCATACACCCTGCACATCAAGTTGTTCCCCAGGCTCCAATTTTGCATCCAGAGCTTAAAGATTAAATTCAAGACATGCTTGCTGCCACACAATTCAAAATCTTTTGTGTCACCATCTGCTGTATTTAAAATATACAGCGCTGCAGTTTTGCCTGTGGCTTTGTATGGATGTGAAACTACCTCTCACATGAAGGAGAGAACATAGATTGAGAGCATGAAGAGTATGTTCTTCTGGCTCATAATGTCATAAGGTTTGGAGAAAGCTTGGTATTTCATAGGAACAGTCACCTGTCTTCACAGGCAAAGAGTAAATGAAGGAATTAGCAGAAGCAGGCATCAAGCTCGGTAAGCCACACATGGCATATCTTGCCTGATAGAGGGCTAGTCCAAGCCTAAAAGGAACTGTGAGAGAGCCGGTGGGAACAAAGGAACTGAGGCAACATTTCCTTTGCTCATGTCATGTCTTTCAGTCCCCTTACAGACAGTGCACTCCCACCAATTGACTTTTTTACAGTTCCTTTTGGGCTTAATCTGGCATATATCAGGCAGTTTTTCTCGCACATGGTTTGCTTAGCTTCTCCAGGTTTCTTATCTCACTTATTCTTCAACCCTAAAGATGAAGGCAATATGTTTTCCCAACACTGGGCTGTCCCCAAGCTACATGGCACTACAACTCAGAAGATCATACTCTTCACAGTTATTGCCTTGAGAACCTCAGATTCAATGTAGATGGAGTGTTTGAGAACAGAGGGCTACAAAAGCTATTTGGACGTAAGAGAGAAAGTAAGAGGAGGATGGAGAAAGTCGCAGATTGCAGCTATTTGTAATTTGTGCTTTCACCAAGTAGTATTAGGATGTGTGGGGCATGTACCACTTATGGGGTATGTGAGAAAGGCATACAAAGTTCTGGTTAGGAAATCCAGAGGAAAGAGTGCACTTGGAAGATCCAGGAATAGATGGAATGATATTAAAATTAATTTGTGAGAAACAGGATGTTGGGATATGACATGATTTCATTTGGCTCAGAATTTAGGCCAGGGGCCCAGTCTTGTAAACTCAGTGAACCTTTGGGCTGTATAAAGTTGGGAATTCCTTGATTAGCCAAGTTACTATTAGCTTCTCAAGAATGATTGCTCCATGGATTTGGTGTCATGATGCTGATGATCTAATGCCCGAACACAAGACTACTACATACCCTCATAAAGCGACTTCATTTTACAGGGTCTTCATAGTGCTAGTATCCCAGGCATTCTGTCTCTTGATATCCATGGTGCAGACACTAGCAAAATATTGACAGGAGGAAATGACCGTAATGCCACTGTTTTCAATAAGGATACTGAGCAGGTTGTGGCTATTCTGAAGGGTCATACCAAGAAAGTTACACGTGTTATCTATCATCCTGATGAGGTAATCAGTTTAAATTGGAGTGAATCTATGTATGTAGTAAAACAAGTTTATGTGCTTTCCTGAGTAAGGAAAGTTACAAGAAGGAATGTGTGAAGAAATGTGAATTAAAAATGTTTTTCTGATGTCTGCGATTTTTAGAAATAATTTTTCTTTCCTTTGACAGGATTTAGTGATAACAGCATCTCCAGATACAACCATTCGGGTGTGGAATGTTCCAACGTCACAGACAACTCAAATGCTTCGAGCACATGAAGGTGCAGTTACGGGTTTGTCGCTTCATCCAACAGGGGATTATGTTCTTTCAACATCGACAGATCAGCACTGGGCTTTCTCTGACATCCGAAGTGGGCGTTTGCTCACAAAGGTAATTTCATGGTGGTGTTAAGAGGTTGGTCACCTAAATTGTGGTGTTGCTGTGACACTTAATTTTTCATTTTGATTGATTTTACATCATCTAGGTAGCTGACCAAGGTTCAAGTGGTAGCGCATTAACAACAGCTCAGTTTCATCCTGATGGTCTCATCTTTGGTACAGGAACTTCGGACTCCCAAGTCAAAATCTGGGATTTAAAGGAACAGTCAAATGTAGCAAATTTTCCAGGTAAGACACATTTATTTTTGTATGTAGAAATTTGTGTTTCTCTCTTACATTGGGCTATGTTCACATTGTTGGAAGCAAATGAACCGAGGTCACCTTTTGTGAATATTGTTATTCAGTGAAACTAATTGTATCAATAAATAGAAGAAACTATAACATGAATGAGAGAGATGGACCATACTATATAATTTTAGTTCTTTCTACTGTCAGCAGTAAATGAATATAAGGTGATGGGGCAGGTTATATGTAATACAAATCAAGATAAGATGAAAGGTAAAACTGTCCCTGTAACAGGCCATGGAGACCCATAAGGTTGTGAGACTTCGAGAGTCCCACATTTTCTAGACAATTGGCTCACAGATGGTGGTAGGGTTGTCAACCTTACGCGCTGGCCACCCTTTACCCCCCAGGAATATTCCTGGTACTCATTTCTGTTAGAGGTTGAGTCGACTCCAGGGCCATAGTGCGGCTGGAAGGATTAGGTGAATTGAAAAATCCAGTGACGTCATCAGGAATTGAACCTGCGACCTACCAGCTTGTAGTGTAGTGCCTCAGCCAATTATGCTACTGCATGCCCCAATAAGTCTGTTGAAAATTATACACTTACATCTGCAGTAAGTTCTCTTAAATTAAAACTTCAAGGGATCATAAAATATAATATAAAATTTCTAGTCTAGGTAATGTCCTCCAATGTGATAGTTACACCGTAAGTTTCATGTTGTGCAAATACTTTGTACTTTATGTTCACACAGTGTATGCCATATTATGTGATAAATATATGAATCCTCTTTTTAACTACAGTGATATGCAGAATATTGTAAAACTTGCTTTCAGGTCACTCGGGTCCTATCACTGCTATCTCATTCTCTGAGAATGGTTACTACTTGGCCACAGCAGCTGATGATGCATGTGTTAAATTGTGGGACCTGCGGAAGCTAAAGAATTTCAAGACGTTACAGATGGATGAAGGTTATGAGATTCGAGATCTCTGTTTTGACCAGAGTGGTACATATCTTGCTGTTGCTGGGACAGATGTTAGGTAAACTAATTTGATTCTTAACATACTTGTATAGATAATCACATTAACTTTGTGACATTCTGTGCTGTTGAAATGCCACTTTACATTTTATACTGTTTTGCTTCTCAGGTTGTAATATTGTTGTTTAATCTGTGGGACAGGTTCACAGCTGAACACTACAAACCCATCAAGTAATGTTCTTAAACTATACATGTTTGCAGCATCATGTTCACTGATTTCTCTGTTTCCATTAAACCCTGTTGACTGACATGTATGTGGCAGCAGTTGAAAGGATTAACAGTCTTTTGGTGTAACTTTCATCCACAATCTTCATTTGTCACATATATTGTTTTATGGCAATTATGAGTATACTGTATTTATATCTTTGCACAAAAGGAGTATGAACATTCTGGTTGAAGACTGCTTGGGACTTGGATGTAGGTGAAGAATAATATAAAAGCGAAATGTGAAGAAATAGGTTTTAAAGGTGCAGACTTCATTGTATGAGATCATTATTGTGTTAACTGGTTGGCTTCTTGTGATCTGATGAGACAGTTTCATAACAGCAGGGAATCTCTTAAATAGGAAGATTTTACCATGGGTAAAAATGGTCAGTCTGTTAACAGTCAGTATTACAGTGAAAATCATAAATGTTTATGTGCATAGAATGAGAAACTGTGAAGGCAAGGGACAGTCCATTCATATCTGGCATTGACCCATGTTTGTAATGAAAATAAATGAGTGACAGAGTCGCCTATAGTTACATTAAGTTATATAACCTTTCCTTAACTGTTCATGATTTTTAATATTATTATTAATGTTTATATTTTTCAGAGTGTACCTGTGTAAACAGTGGCAAGAATTAAAAGTATTTAATGATCATACAGCTATGGCTACTGGAGTGAGATTTGGACGCCATGCTCAGTATATTGCCTCCACGAGCATGGACAGAACCCTTAAACTGTATGGTTTGTAATTACATATGAATACACTATTTTTTGCTGTGAAGAAGGTAGAGTTTGATTCAGCTGGAGGGTGAATTTGCTGCACTCACATGAATTGATAAATTACAGGAAGAATTTTTGATAGAAGAGAGCAAAGGGACATTACCTTCTTCAACACAACTATTTCACAAAATGTGCTGATGTCTGTAATCGCAGGAAGAAATTTATATATATATATATATACAGGTGTCCCAGGAGGAATGGACCAAACTTCGGGAGGGTGTTCCTTATGTTAAAGTATGCCGATATAACCCAAAACACCTATGTCCAAAGTTGACAGGTTACAGAGATAATGGCCAGAGAAGTGTCAAACTTTGACCGGTGTTACACACTTGTTGATTACAAAATACATATTAAAACTGACAGGAATATGTGGATTCTGTAATGTTAATAATGTACGTAACATCAAACCAACTTGTGAGTGACGTGAAGCCATAAAATTGAAGTACAAAATACTCGCTCGCCATGTCATAATTGTCCTTAGGGTTTCCAAGCACTATACATGACACATGACTGGCAAGTGCTGACGTAACGTGGCTGACTGCGCCGCAACGTAATCTGTAGGCTCTGTAGGTAGCGCATGAGCTTACGGCTAGTGTGACTCACAGCACTCAAGGACAAACAGATAAGAGTCTCAGCTGACGGGTATAGTGCGTGGACCTGCCAGAAGACCACACTTTTCTCGGGCCATTATCCCCGTAACCGTTCAACTTTGGATATAGGTGTTTTGGGTTATATCAGCATACTTTAACATGAGGAACACCCTCCCGAAGTTTGGTCCATTCCTCCTGGGACACCCTGTATATATGGAAGATAGTAATGGACAATAACCTTCTTTGACACAACATTTCACAAAATGAAATATTTTAAAGTTCTGTTACTTTTGTCCATGATATATAAATGAAGTATGGCAGAGACCATAACAATATGTCTCAGTATGAACAGTGAAAACAGAAGTTGTATCTGAAATTAAAATTGTAAAGTAGGTAAGATTTATTCTCTATGTGTTACATTCCTAATCTTGACCTAGAATAACATGCATTCAGGAGGCCGACAGAAAGAGTGTGGTTGACATCCTTTTGATCATTAGGTCAGCTGAGGTTGTACTGTGAGACCTGCCTGTGACCTTGAGTATCTCCATAGTAAGTCAAAGTATAAAAATATTCTGCCCTGCCAAGTGCTGTGTCTTACCATACAGCTTATAATTCTGCAAAATGACATTTCAAGAAACTGACCAAGTATGTAAAGGCTGTATTTTAGTCTTTTGATTAATGTTAAGCATACATAGAACAATAAGATGCTTAGCTTGTTAATTAGTTCAGATGGATGTTTTCCTTCCAAATTTGCATTGCAGGAGCATCATAACTATTATGTACTTTTGTGACTCACGTGAATTAAATTAATGACATGCTTTGTTCTAATTGTGTTTTTTATTTACATCAGTCAAGCCCCCAGCCTTTTACCCTTAATCCTCTATGAGTTCTGAAATATGGTATGATATTGAAGGCTTAAAAATATATTGGTCTCTACAGATCTCAGGCAATTCATGTTATTGTGAAAGGTGAGAACTGGAATATTCAGATAGGTCTTTAAGATGGTGAATCATAACATTTTGAGACTTCATGTTTGAATCTAAAAATCATGATGTAATTGCACTGTTCCAATAACCTTGATATCTGTTGAGCACTGAATTTTTAAAAAATATTCCCCTTTGGGCACTTTCAGTTTGGGGAACAGCAGCAAAATCACTAGGTTCTAAATTCAGTGAATGATGTGAGGTAGGATATTTTTTTGTCTTTCTTTTGATTTATTTTGTGAATGGTATGATGTGAGTTGAATGATGAATTGGAAAGAATTTGGAAGGAAGTGATCAGGTGTAAGTGAAGTATCCCAGCAGTTGCTTGGAGGGACCGAAGAAAAGCCCCAAAATAAGTTGGTATAGTTAGTGTCCTGGAAAAGATTCAAACTAAGCACCTCACTAGTCTAAAGAGTGTTTATGCTAACCAGCATGGAATGTTGTTGAATAAGAATTCCTTTAATAAAGAGTGCTAAGTGAGCTAATGCATTGTCATGCATAACAGCTCTGTGAATACAGCTTCAATTTTTAAAGCCATTTGCATCAACCTGCATCTCTACATTAAAGTGTTCAAATTAAACATCTAATTGTTAGGTCACACCAGATTTTGCACAAACACAAAATAATTGTTTCTGTTGCAAAATGATGACAAATCGCCAAAGTTCAAATCATCTTTAATCGAAATATATCCTTTTTAAATCAATCAAACCATTAAAATATTTTAAGGTGGCTTGTTTTTCAAATAAAGGTGTCAGAATTTTGTACATTTTCATGCCCATCTATCCAAGTTTCACGCAAAACATGATGCATGTGTGTTATGTAATCTCCGCCATTTTGCATTGTGATGACTGCTACGAACGTGTTCTCAAAACTGTTTGCTCACAACTGAATTTCTATAATAGAGAGAACATATTTGAGGTAGGATTCAGACAAGGGAGTGAGTTGTGTGTGTGGTATTACAATCTGAGGCAAAAAGTAAGAAATGTAATAAAGACAGGAGCATACACATCATCAACCAGAAACTGCAAACAATACAAGATACTTAATTTTGAATTATGAGGTCAAAAAATTGATAGCTTAAGGCTGTGAGTCTTATCTGATTAACTAATTAATAAAATAACTGACAACTAAGAAATGTATGCAGCTAACTATAGAAGTCATACCTATTATCAGGTAATGTTAGTTATATGTATGCATGTATGATAGGTTTTTTAATGGTTATTTAATGAGGCTGTCAGCACTGAGAACAAAGTTTATGCATAATCACTTATATGCATGAAGCTTTGGTTTATTATGCATAAGCTTGAAAATGTTTGTGTATAACAACAATGTGCTTATAAAGGCATAACATCCAGTCTCTTTCAAAATTTACAATTCATTCATATATCCTAGTTTTTGTCCTGCATAGTAATGAGAGTATATTTGCAGAAATAAGACAATACCAGTACTACAGTATTGATTATATTAAGGTGTCTCAGAAAGCATTTGGATTCTTTGTCACAGCACTAATTATCAAGTTACAGTTTAAAAATCTGCTGTTTGGTATGTTCTTAGAATTCCTGTCAATTTTTCATTCAGAAAGTAGAAAGACAATGCATGCTGGTGCACCCCTTGAATCCCATCACTGCCATCATTGTTGTGCAAGACTGACAGTGACGACAGGAATTCAAGAGTTTTTGATGCATTATCCTAAGGACTCATTATTACAACTGCAAACATTTACAAAAAATCAAACTCTCAATATGCATAGGACTTACAGGTACAGATAATGATACAGACTTTAATAATTTGACCATATTTGGCTGTACAGTTCAACAATGAGGCTTTTTCGAACATCTTCAATTTTCCTGGGCATTTCTTGAAGTGACTGGTGTGGCTATTTGGACATGAAATATATCCAAGAGAGCGCCTGCTCTGTATATAGGTTTCTACCTTTTTAATCTACTCATGTATGGTGCAACCCACCATCTGTTTTATAAAATGCTGATTCCAGGCAAAGTCCTCAGATTAAAAACATATTACTGTCACAGAATTTGTCCACATCAGAGGAAAGTGTATCCTGAACCAACCAAATAGAAATAAAATGCTAATTGTCATAAACTTTTTTTCTGTATATGTAAAGAGTGATCCATATACTGTCACTAGACATCGTAATGTTTCCAGTTCCAGTGTTACAGCTTTTTAGAGGCTTTGTAGGAAACTGATTCCAGCATCATTATACACATGTCCTTCATCTTTGATTTTCAGAAACCCCATCTTGCTTTAGTGCCCAATTTTAATGCATTTGATGCTCTTTCCATTCGATCTAGTGCTTCATCTAATGCTTTTTCCTGTTCTGCGAATTTTGCTTCTTGTTGCTTTTCCAGTAAGTCCGCTCTCTTTTCAGCCTCTTGCTCTAATATTTCCTCTAATGCATCTGCTGGAAACTCATGTAAATTCTTCTGCAAATCACCCTGTTGCTTTTCCAGTAACTCCGCTCTCTCTTCAGCCTCTTGTTCTATTATTGCCTCTAGTGCATCTGCTGGTAACTCATGTAAATTCTTCTGCAAATCACCTAAGATAGCTCTTACGTCCTTTGCTTTGTAGAGCACCTCAATCTTCTCTTCATTCTCTCTTTCCAGCTTCTTTCGTCTCCACTCCTGATATCGTTCTTCACTTTCATTAGCAGCTTCCAACGCATCGTGCTGTCGTTCCAGTGCATCATGTAATGTTTCTTGAACATTGCAACCGTTTTCCCCATGCTCTGTATCATATGCTTCTGCATTGTCTGAAATAATAATAAGAAATGTGAAGGTCAAAATTATATTTAAATATAAGCAAAATGATTATCACTATTCTTGATTTCTCTTATAGAGGCCTATAATTATAATGGTTACATATAATGCACAGTAAAATATTAAAATGAAAGAATGAATACACTTAACTACAATCCATTTTATACATTGTTGTCAAGCATAAGAGTATAATTACGTCTCTTTATTTGGTCGCCATAATCTTATTTTTTTCATACTCCACAAGGAATACAGTTTTTATGCATCTCTTACAACACATAATCATATACTAAATTTAATGCCTCTAAAAATTTCACATGGGCACTGTGTTCATCATCAACAGCATGGAATTACAATGGTGATGTGTTCCTTTACACCACACCTTTCATACTGCTGGCATAAAAGCGGCTATCGGCAGGAAAATCATTAGCAGGGGATTGATAAACACATAACTACACACACTCGCTGATGTAAAAACATCGTAACACTACACTCATGGAATACTGAAAGTATGCAAACATTTACCAAATAATTTAGGTCTATGGTCCAATTAAAATCATCTCTGCCTATTTGCAATTTACTTCTGAAGACTTTGTTTAAAATCATCAATTTATCGCCTATAATAATAGTAATACTGATCGGCCCTTATATTCACTCTAAGTTTCAGGTATACTTACTCAAATTTCTGCATGAGCATTCCACGTTTACCATTTCTCCCACCATTGTTAAGTTTCTTATACACATCTGCCCATTTGCTACCGTAACTGTTTCTTGTCTTATCACTCTACCTGCAATACATTCACAAGCATTAGGATCTAAAGATCTAAAGGTGATTTTCAACTGCTCACCATTCTCAGATGATTGGCTCAACACACTCTCTCTTTCTCTCTTATATATGTCTGTCTGTTGATATTACACAATATATTTTAACTGTGGACCAATCACAGTAGGTACATTCACACGTAAACTCTTCTCAGTTATAATTCTAAGCCTATTGTGATGTGTTGTTTTAATTAACGTATATCTTAACTATCATAATCAAAATAATAAGAATCATGTACTGGTTGAGAAAAGAAAATGTTGCATAAAAGTTTAATCAAGATAATATAAGAGATTGTTTTTATTGTAATTAACTGCTTGTCTCCTTTAACTGAAGCATAACATATGCGCGAGCAAACCAGTGCAAACTTAATTTACCGTAAATATTAGTACAGCGTTTGTCAGAGGTACTGTTGCCATTGATGACAGTGGTAAAAGCCATGCAGTTGCTGTTTGGGGGACAACGGAGTCCATTACAGTACGTCTCGAATCCTGACGATGACGAAGACTGGACTGGAAATAAAATACAGGGTAATTTGTTTGTGTCTAGTTAAGGCCACACGAATGTGAGTGTCAGTGTCACAGTACCAACTGGACTTCAGTTGTATACAGATTGGAAGTAAGGGAAAAGAGGACGAATGTCGCCTTTCATAATTTTGCAAATAACGGCAGTCCAACATCTGTAAAAACAAACTAAGTATATATATTAAATAAACTAATTGAAACATCCTATATGACAGATATAAATAACATTTCTTTTCCTGAAAGGGCACATAAATAAAATTTAAAAAAAGATATTCCAAGCAATAAATTGCACTCTCAAAAGTGCTTTTGATATTACTACTCGCCTTCAATCTTCTGTTCGTCTACCTCAATTAATACACAACTTCACGAAAAACATGTCACTTGTACACTTTATACTTTTTACAGGTAATTAGTATTTGATAATTGGTATGATTATGTTTATTTTTTACAAGGAAAACGTTTACCTCTGAAGCGCTAGTACGTGTTTGCAACCTTACCAATTATAACCCCGCAATTGACTTTTGTTTCAGTCAAGATGAACAGTGTCAGTACAATATCCAGCAGAAAGTTCTTGTGAAGTGATTTCTTCATGCTGTGCTCCTTGCAGACTGCTGAAACAAGAAATAATATGTACTCTAATCAGCTTCAGACGTAAGGTGACAGTCAAACGAGTTACAAACTGATTTCGAAATGCATGCTACGCATTATGTTTTCTTTAGAGACTAGTTGACACGACAGAAGTGATCACTGCCACAAATTGCGTTAAGTCTGAAATTGGGTTTGGGTCCATGCTCTCACGCGATTCCCATTCCAAAATTATGTTGATGAGACCAAAGTATGTAGTGGTCTAAACAGACTAAACCGGTTTCACTAGAATATGAATAAATCACTGAAGAAGACACGCGGTACGCCAGTCATATCAAACTATTTGCCGATGAAACTAAGAAACTTAGCCACCGATAATCGTTAGCTCGTTTTTTTACGAAATGCTCAAATAAACAGATACTGGGAAAATTGTGCATATTTGTCCATTTATTTCAGCTCCAACCCTATTTAACGGATTTCAATGGATTTCAGCTCAGGGGTTGCGTAACCGAAGTTGCAATGCAATTCTCACGTTAATTCGTATCAACGGTATATATGACTCCTACTAAGTCAAATTCGATTAATTATCTCAAAACAGTTCATTATACAATTAGCACATGACAAAATGCACAGTTTATGAAAATGTACAAATTTATCTGAAACAATTTGAATATGGTGTATATTTAATGAATTATATATTTGAAATGAACGCATCTGGCAAATATGGGTATTCTAGTAACGTAAAATTTCCACGCTTCTCATGAATTATCCTATGATGTGGTATTTTTAACTACAAGCCGTTACATGTCCTGCAAACTCTGACCTAACTCCATGCTTATGCTCGCATACTTAATTTAACAGCAGCAGCAAAACTTATTGCCGCTCACAGTAGCCGAGCGGTCTAAGGCGTCTAAGGCATGCATTCTCTTCGCTCGCTCGGAAGCCGAGATCGTGGGTTCGAATACAACTCAGGGCATGGATGTTTGTGTGCGTTTTTCTGTTTTTATACAGGTAGAGGCCTTGCGACGAGCTGATCACTCGCCCAAGGAGTCCTACCGTATGTGTAAGATCTAGAAAAACCGAAGTGAACGGAGAAGTTCATGGAGGTAGGCCTAGGCCCACTGGGGCCGTAGTACCAGGAAAAACAAAACAAAACTGATTAAACTCAATACCACTTTAATTAATAAAGAATTTTAATGACAATGCTGAGTCCACGCGATTTAATGAATGCTGACGCGAGCGATACGAGGTACCAATAAATCTCGGCCGGACTGTGGTATTTCCGGCGAACATACCGAAAGCTACCTGACCTTGCTCCAGGCATTACCGAACCACGCACCCACCATGACGTACAGGGAAGGCATTCAGAACAATAGATGTTAGTCACATATTCTCGGAAGACAATGCAGTATGTACAGTTTCTATCTCGAACGTCCGTGCTTCCAGTACTGATGTGTGCATAGATTCGTACATAAAAGCACAAATCGCCTCAAGGTACTTCGGTAAATTCACAAAACACAAAATGGAACAGCGTAGCAAAAGTAGGCGCTTTTTTATACGTACGTACGTTAGAACCGCTCTAATATTTTGCGGTAATTATACTGATAACATCAGGTTGTGAAATGCAGCATAAAATCGTATCATTTTGCTGATTGAAATTCTTATCTGGACCTTTATTCGGACTAGTCAGAATTTAATTAAATGTGTCTAAAATTTACTTCTGCTCTCGATATCAATGAAACCTTAAGAAGCCGTTATATAGATCTGAAACACATATCCCTGAATATGGCAACTGAAACGTTGGCAATTCTACGTGGCGTATTCCTGAAAGCCGAAGGTATATATGTATTAAGTTGCAAAATGTACGCACAGCAGAACAATTGTAGACCTTTCGCTCGTTTGTATTTATCTGGAAACTCATAAGACTAACGAAAAAATGCATTGAATGTAAAACGCGCATTTCAGTTTTCTACATAGTCCCTGTTTCTAAACATATTTGCTTCAACAAATATTTAGCGAGATGCGCTGAAGTTGCGCGCACACACGCATGTGGGTCCTCACGTAAGGTGTCCGTTGCTTTTGTCAGATTTGAATTAAAACTGGATTTTATCAACAACGTTTAGCAGGACTCCTCGGTATAAAATTTCACGAAAAACCGATCGACGGCTCCTGATTTGCTGCGTGGGGACAGCTGGACAGACAGACAGAAATGATGAAATTAATATGTGCATATTTGCAATTTTTCGTTGCGCCAAAAAAAAAAGTTTTGTTATTGGCGGAACTTTGATTGCATAACCAAAGCAAGACTAAAATCTTCTCATCTCATTCTAAATGTCATATGTCTATGAAGACCTCTGTTATAACTGTAAAATATTTTTTTCATTTTGCACCTAGATGGTACCAGATACTCAGTACAGCATTCAAAGATCAGAATATTCCCAAAATTCCATAAATTACGGTAACATTGCCATAAAACTTAACAAATGACATTATGATCGGAAAAAGAGGCGAGAATTCAGTGTCGTACCCATATATATATAGGGATGTGATTATAATATTAAAATTGATCTCAGATGAATAGGATATAAAGGTATGGATAGGATTCATCTCGCCCAGGGAAGCGACTGCGAGTAGTAACAGACTTGTGAGCACGTTAATGAAGCTTAGGGTTCCATAAAACTCAGCAGCTTGACTAATTCAGTGACTTCTAGTTTCTCAAATATAACTCCTGCACAGAGCTGGTTAGTTGAATTTGGAGTTAGATGTTACACTATGGGAACTACTGTATCAAATAAAAATTAAGAGAATGTGAGATCTGAACTGAATGGTAGCAAGCATTACCCGAATTCAATCTCCTCTTAATTTCCTCCCGAATTACGTTTTGAGTTGTTAGGGCGAGGGCACACCAAGGAAACTGGCAACCGCAACGCAACCGCCATTTCCGGGAATTGCTATCAGCCTGAGTTGGAAACATGTTAGTGAATGGAGCAGCGCAAATTAAGGAAACGTTAACGCAACACGCGGAAAGACTGAGAAACTCAACTTCCAGGCAAGGGAGCGTGCCGGTCTTGTCACAATTGCGTTGCCGCGCGATTTCCTACTGTCAGCTGTTCCATAACGCGCATCAGTTATTCATTTGTTCCTTAAGATCGCTTAGTATGGCACGAAAGTTTGACGAAGCTGCTAATTTTGTTTTTGTGCAGTTCATTGAGGAAGAGCCTGGTATATATGACAAAAGACACTCAGACTATGTTAGGCTGGACAAAACATATTTGGCTTTGGCAAGAATTTCTCACGAGACGAAGGAGCTGTTAAGTTCTTTCGAAACAATAAAGGCGCCCCAGTTTAAATTGTTACAGAAGAACGGATGCATCCAATATTGTCTTTTCTAATACTGTATTTAAGCTTCCAGTTGCATTAATATATCATTTATTTCAGATATACGGCTATCATCAGATGCCTTCTATCTTGCTAAAATTGTTGCAATATATGTCAAAATTTCGTATCACGTGTGAACGCGATATTTCCTGGTTAAAATAAAGTGACCTTAATTAAAACAAATTAAGAACATCCCAATATTTTCCTTATGGCCGTCGTCCTCTCTTCTCACTCCGTCTCAACCGGTCTCAACTACCGCCATGTTATGACAGGATCCGTATTATTATCTTCCATTGTACTTACAAGGTAAGTGCACGAAATTAACAAATACAGGCATGCATTACGTCGGACGGACATGCCCACTTAAGATGACCTGAGCAGTTAACCAAACATAAGTTTCCTCAGTGTGCGCCTGCTAAGCTGGAAAACAGATGCCTGCTTGAGGTCGGCTACATTTCTAGGAAATTGCAGTTGCGTTGCGGTTGCGAGTGTCCTTGGTGTGACCTCGCCCTTACAGTCGTTCCCAAATGTCTGAACTGTACCACATTTTCAAAACATCTGCTAGCCATCTTTATGTCATGATTTTGCCTTACATTCTGATGATGTGACAGCAACATATACTTAGTTTCCTCAGTGTTATTTCCAGACCAACCTCCCCCCCCCCTGGCACTACAGCCCCAGTGGGCCTAGGCCTACCTCCATGAACTTCTCCGTTCACTTCGGTTTTTCTAGATCTCACACATACGGTAGGATTCCTTGGGCGGGTGATCAGATTGTCGCAAGGCCTCTACCTGTACACAAACACAGAAAAACGCATACAAACATCCATGCCCTGAGTTGTATTCGAACCCACGATCCCGGCTTCCGAGCGAGCGAAGACAGTGCATGCCTTAGACCGCTCGGCTACCGTGACCGGCTAGACCAACCTCCTTACTTGCGTCAATTAAACTTTGTGTGTTTTATTTCATGGTATTTATATTATCACCCAGTAGATTCACATCATCATCATCATAGACCGACAGCTGATGTGTCCCGTTTAATTTCAGACCCACCTGGATTCCCTGGACCTTTTTAATTGCATATTTTAAAGCAAAGTTGAGAAGCAGTGGCAATAAAGCATCTCCCTATTTTAGACCGTTCTGGATAGGAAAATTATCTGAAAAATATTTTTTTATTGCTAGTAGGGTGGGACTAAGTCCCTTGTACTGCGGCCTCTTCTGGCCTATTGTACCAGCCCCAGATGATAGGTAAGGGTGATTGTGGAACAATTGGTGGAATGAAGATTGGCAGGGGAAACCGAAGTACTCGGAGAAAACCTGCCCCAGCGGCACTTTGTCCATTACAAATCCCACTTGACCAGACCCGGGATCGAACCCGGGCCGCCGCGGTGGGAAGCCAGCGACTAACCGCTTGAGCTATGGCACGGCCCCTATACCGACTTTACTGTGCGTTTCATTTAAACACATTTCAATCACGGGTACCTCAAATTCTATGAGACTTTTGTACAATAACTCCCCTCCTAACCGAATCGCAGGCGTTCTTGACGTCTACGAATTGGCTATGTCCTGTCTCTTTGTACTGCCATTTGTTCCTCCAGTATCTGACGAAAGCAAAAGATCTGACCAGTAATTGATCTGTTACGTTTAAACCACACTGATGATATGCAATAATTTTGTCTATATATGGACTTAATCTTGAGGGTAGAATATTGGATAAAAAATGTGTATGAAGTTGATGGCAGTGATATGGCACGATAATTACTACAATCAGTTTTATCGCCCTTCTTGTGAAGGGGGTAAAGCGGTAAAGCTTACCACTAACCTCCAAAGAGTACCGAGTTAAAGTAAACGTGGATCTATACATCCATACCCCAATACGCCTTCATGGCGTAGTGCTTAAATAGTTCAGCACATGAACTCCCTTGACGCTTGCAGCAAATACCGTG